AAAAGAAGACTTTATGAAGATTTCAAGTATTTATTGAAGAGACTGGGTGTGAAAGAAGGATCAAAGTACGAAGATGTTATGCTCCAGATCCGAGGCAGAACTGCATACGAACAATGTGAGAATGATGTTCAAAGGCGAGAATTCTTTGATAAATACATGGAAAGACTCAGAGAAAAGAGAGAAGACAAAGAAAGTGAAAGGCCAGCGAAAGTTCGCCGTGTAGATAATGACAAAGAAGAGGGGGAGGCTTCAACTGCCGAGGAATGAAAATAAAGATTTTTTGGTCACCCAAACAATTAGTCGAAACCTGGACTGGTCACCGGTTGGTCAAGGCAAAACAAGAATATTATTTCCAGTAAAAATACCAACCTGCACAGATAAAATTCCTGAATGGCTGAATAGAATTCCGGTCATGCGAACTATAACTGTCAGAAGAATCAAATTTCGCTTGTTTCAAGAATCAAGTTATCAGCAGCAGATTAATTGGAGAACCCGGAGAACAACTATAGGAGAGACCACAGGATACTCACACAAGTCAGCACTATGAACGGAGCATAGCAATCATTGAGAACATCATTGTTGCTACTTTTTTCTGCGGTAGTACCATATATTGATCTACTCACACAGAGATGGATTAAAAGTGCACAGACACGGGCACTGAGTTGTTTAAATTATAAGCGTTTATTCATTGGATGATATGTACTTAGGCCATCGTTGCTCAGAGATTTTGAACTTCTTAGAATTGTCCGATGTGCTTTGAACCTCTTGAAAAGCACGGTAACGAAGGAACTAGAATGTGGAAAAGTAAAGATTGCAAGACTTCAACTGGACACGATCTCATTGTTAACAAGGATGTATCAGCAGCAATCAACATGGCTAATATCGCAGCTCATTACTTTTTTACTGGAGAAAGACACCCCCGGTTTCAGTAGGCAAGTCTGAGTCAAAAAATCTGTGACCGCTGCATAAAAGACGCAGCTCTATTTATCCACAAAATAATGTTTAATCTTGATTAACGTTTAATATTCGCTTTGATAACTTGTTCCAACGATTCTGTCCACTTGAGTCCTTCCTCTATTAGTCTTGTGAACTCTTGTAAAAGTGCGTCGTTGCTGAAACCGATTTTATCTAGTCTTGGTGGTTTGAACTGAGCATGTGTGACCATTGTTGCAGGATCAAACTTTGGCACAACTGGATTAGTCAGTAGAGTAGAAGATGCCGAATCTTCCTCTTCTTTGCTCTCACTTGGCGCAACACTATCACGATTATCATTCACGACTTTTTGTTCTGATACAACTGTTTGGTCTGGCGTTTCCACTTTTACATTTTCTTCTGGATGGGCATTCACCTTCTCATTGTCAATCTTTTCTTCTTCTTCAATAGATTTCACTTCAGATATCACGATTATCGGAGACGGAGGGTTAGGAGTGTTTTCAGGTTCTTCTTCTAATCTTATATGGCCTCGAATCGTTTCGAAATTCTCATCTGTTTGATTTTCTTCATTCTGGACTGGCGCATGTCTAACAGTCTCCGCATTCTCTACTTGAAGCACGCTTTTTGGATCAATAGCTTTGGATAGTCTGGCAGTATCAAATACCCAAGAATCCATTTTACCATTGTCCAAGTTCTCTTCCAGTTCGAAAGCATTCACGTCTTCATCATCACTGTCAGCCTCTTCCTTTGAAGTTTTCCACTGTTGATGCCTCGTAATCAGTTCTGTCAACTCAGATCCCTTTTTCTTGATGTTTTTTAAGAATGTAGACTTTAACAATTCATCTGCTGTGGATCTCGTTTGTGGGTCATCATTTAAACAAAGCGCGATGAATTCTTTGATATTTTTAGAATACTGACTACCTTCTAAACGTGCCGGTGGGTTCCGTGGAATCAAGAAAATTGCCTTCATAGGATCCTGATCAGCGTATGGAGGATTACCAGTTATCATCTCGTATACAGTGATTCCAAGTGACCAAATATCTGCTTTAAAATCATAAGTCGATCGTTTTATAACTTCAGGTGACATCCAATATCTACAAAACAGTCAAAAGCGTGAAGCTAAATGGTACGGTGTTCCGACAAAAGAGTTCCTGCGCAGACAATTCATTGTAACCTGTCCAGCAACTCCAAAATCGCACAGCTTTATACCGCCTTGTTCCGTTATGAGAACATTGGCTGCCTTGATATCTCTGTGGATGATACCAGCCTTATGTAGATATACCAAAGCCTGAACAACATCCTTGCTGATCACGCCAACTTGTCTACACTCTAATCAGCTAACTTTAAACTAGAAAGCGACCTTTCTGTTAATGAGCCACTCTTTAAGATCTGTCGGATCGAAGTGTATGCATAGTCCATCACAATCCATAAGTTGGTTTGAACAAGATATGATGAATGATACCGAGTAATGTATTCACTGTCGCAGTTGATGAGCACATTAATTTCCTTTTGAATTTCCTCAAACTCGTCTTCTGAACTATCCAGGTCCAGCACCTTGATGGCCACAATCTGACCTGTTTCATTATGGATGCTGATATAGATAAGCTTAGTCCAGGTCTCAATGAAACGAAGTACCCTTTAAAGACAGAGCCAAAAGAGCCCTTTCCGATTCTTTCTAATTTAGTGTATGGCACTACTTGCGCAGGGGTGCTGTTCGACATTATGGGAATGAAACAATGAAGATTTGATTGATCATTTATTCGCGGGGTCAAAGAATTTGTCTACGCTGCTTTCCAGTGACGGCACATCAAATTTGATGTATTTTTCAGCATTCTTTGTAAAGTTCGAAGTTGCGAACTTGTTGTAGAATTTTGTGTAAACAGGAATCAAGTGTTTCTTCAGGGCTGCGACAACTCTCTGACGTAGTTCTGCATCTGGGATGACAAGCTTCCTTTGAATGACAATGATATCATCATAGCCATCATTAAAATGTTTGAATCTATCCTTGATCTTTTGTCTATCAGTTTGTGACATATTCGCAGAGATGGTAATCAGCATTCCAACGCCATCCATCAAATTCATAATTAGAGGATCCCAAACTTGAACGTAAAAGTGGATTTCAGTCTGAATCTTTTTATCTAGCAAAGCCTCAAACTCAGATGTTGTGATGTATGATAATTGCTGATTTGATTTCAAAGATTTCAGGATGTAATGACAATTATTGAGCATGAACACACATCCGACAACAGGCTTCGATCCAGTTGGACCCTTCTTGTAACCTTTCGTGGCTCTTGCTTCCAAATTCGTCAAAAGCAATTGTAAAGAATCGACCACGTATTTTTTGAGCGCAGAAAAATCATCTGGAGCAGAGTTGAGCCTCGTTGACTTTCTAATCGCAACAAGTTTCATGCAAAGCTCTGAATCAGCAGTAAGTTCATCAAAAGATGATCCAGAAGCACTTTGTTGGTATAATCTCAACATTAAATCGACAGCTGGAGCAAAATCGACAATCTTCTTTAAGAAACTCAAGGTGTTGCTCGACAACTCATGAACAATTCCATCTTCAGGCATGTTCTTGTTCAAGCCAACATTGTTAATATCGTCGGTCAATTCTGAAAAAGATCTCAATGCCATAACTATACAATCATTCATAATTTTGATAAACTCTGGATAAATCTTTGGACAATGTTCTTTTAGTGTTGAGAACCATTTTAAACATTCTGATGAAGAAGACATTGAAATATCAATAGAATCCACATAAAGGTAAAGTAAGTCATACACAAAGAATAGAAAAGATAAATCATGATTCTGTAAAGCGTGCCTTTTGATCTTGACAAGTATTTGCCCAATAGTCTCGAAGTACTTTGTTAAAGATTCCTTAACAATCTGCTCAAAAATATTATCCATGAAGGATTTCTTTTGACTGCGAGAGCTTTGAATATTAGCGTTCCCGCCATATGATCCTCCAGCTTGTATAATCTTGTTTAGCAAGATCCACTCATTATTTACTAATCCAAAGATGATCTTTGTGCAGCTTAGAGCAAGCCCTGAACCTTTAATGTATAAGCCACCATCATTCAATTTCTTATCAAAGTTTTGAGCAACTTGTTGTTGTATTGGGTTCAGTATTTTTTGCATGAAGTTGGAACGACATTCAATATGAGTCTTAATGTGGCTTACATCAGTAGAAGAACCGGAAGATGTGCTCAAGATCGCATCGCTCTCATATCCAGCAAGGTATTTAGCGATCAGAGATACAGATTCTAAAGCATTCCTATTGACCAGAACAAACTGATCAACTGTATCTAACTCTGCAGGATCTGTCTGACTTTCCTTAACTAAAACTTGTTTCACTTCAGACTCAAGTCTCATAAGCAATTCTCTTTGATCAATACCAACTTGAACTGAATTAAAGTTCTGTTCCAATTCGTAGCGCATCATTTTGTCCAACTTTGCACAGGAATTCATAACCAGAGAGCGTTCCCTTTGAAGAATCGGATCAGCTTGAATGATCTTATTAGCAATGATGTAACCATAAGCCAGCCTTAGTCGATCCAAAGACTGAAACCATTTTTCTAGTTCTGATCTAGAGAATTCTCCCCTGATTAAAGGTTGCAGTGTTGGTTCTTCCAACTTGTCTTGTTCCAAGTATTGTTTCACTTGTTGCAGCTGAGAAAGCGTTCTGTCCATATTCTCGTATAACTTTGAAAGCTTCTGTGTAGCCGTATGAATTGGTAGAACTTTAATCTCAAGACTTTGAACTCTGCTATCGAATCCTGTAAGAATGTGTAAAGCATCCTGAACATTTTGGCCTGTTTTAGTGAGTTTAGCTTCTAATAACTTTGCATCTTGTTCTTCTTCAGCCAGCCTTGTTTCATACTCTGCGATCCTGGAGGCGAATTGCACTTGTGTCATTCCTTGAAGATGTTTGCGACGATTCTTTGAACTTGGCACAGCGCCACTAAATTTGAGACTTAAGGTGATTTTGGTGTCGATTCAAACAACTGCTTTGCTTTGGAGTGAGTCCCAAAATTTTAAAAAGGGACAAACATTTTTGTTATCGTGAAGCTCCATTGGCTCAGCTGGTTAGCGCGTTCGGCTGTTATCCTTTGGGAAACCGGAAGGTCGGTGGTTCGAACCCACCATGGAGCGCTTTTTTGCTTCCATCGAGCTTATTTTTTCAATATCTTCCTGGTGTTCCCTTGAAGATCTTTTTTAATCGAACTTTAACCCATTTTTTATCGCGCAGAGCTCCAGCTCAAGCGTCTACATGCTGCGAGCTGGAGTTCGAATGCGCTTTCCTAATGGGACTATATCTAGCTCGCTCTGAATCCTAAAATTTATGTTCTTTCTATTCACATGAGTTGAAACAGACAAAGTTTTGGGCGGTTAAAATCTGCAATTCAGATAGCTTAACTGTTTGGAACAGGGACATCAACGCTGCACGAAATATCAGACAGGTGATTATGCTTGAATATTTACTTGTACAGTCTCCACCAGCGTAGCCGAGAAATCGGCGATTCGTGTAACACTCTTCTAAGTAAGATTTGGTTTTATTTGAACTAATCCCGTAGCGAAGGGCCAGTTATTGTTTTTTGATCTTTTGAAGAGACCTGCTTCGCAATACTGTCATGGCAGTAATGTAAAGCGGTATTTTCTCTTCATCTGGTAAATCGCGTATTCTTTTGCTGAATCCCAAATACAAATCACACAAAGCATTGAGTTCTTTGTAGCCTTTTCTGGACATTTTCAACTGATCAATGCATTCCTTTGCGATGCCAGCCCTGAGAACAAGAATTTCGTAAACATCTGTCAAGTCGACGCTGGAGTCTTCGTCATCCAAATACTTGTCCCAGGTGTCAACATTAGTCAATATTCTCTGCACAACTTTCCGAGTGGCTAAGGCGCGTCCTAATTTTGTATACGGAACTGAAACTCTACTGAAATTAAACAGCGAACGGAGATCTTTTAACGCCGCTGGAGGTAAATCTTTCAACTTCATTTGCTGAGAAATATCCTTCTGCAGCGAGAGCACAAAGTAATAAATGTATCGAGCATCGTCGGATAAAAGCGCAGACTTTTCGAGAGCTTTCTGAAGCGTGCCAAACTCTCTTGATTTCTTGGCTACTTCAGTCTGACTTAAAGTATTTAAAAGAACATCAGCTGAGCAACTTTTCTTTGGCTGTCTATAATATGGATGCGACCTATTAAGAGCTCTTCCGTAAGATGGCGTTATTGCGGGGTGGAAGTTAGACATGAACCACGCAGCCGGAATAGCGGGCGCAACTGCAATCAACGGCAAAGCGCCACCAAGATATCCGATCGATGCCAAACTCGCTCCCAAGCCAACAGTCAATTTGATATCATAACTTAATTGTCGCTTATCTTTAGCCACATTCCACAGAACCAACTTCTTGGAGTTACTTGCTTCTTTACGCGCTTCTTCTGTAGCTTTAGCTCGATTTATCATTTGGTACATGTTTCTTCCAACGTGCGCAAAGTACTGGAAAACTGTTGGGTTCTTCTTGATCGCTTTGGCCCTGACTGGTGCTGAACCTGCTGAGCTCGCTGCTGTAGCGGTTGCGGTTGCTGCTTTCAATGCTTGCATGATCAGATCAAGTTGCAGAAATTTTTTTCGAACTTTCACTTAAAGTAATGCACCAGAAGAACAAAGCGTTCAAATCTAAACACGCAACGAAATCATCGATTAAGAGGCGCAACAAGGGAAAAGTGGAAAGACGCGTTGTTACTGCTCGCGATGGTCCTTCCAACAAGATTATAGCAAAGCATGATCGGAAAAATGCAGCCAAGATCGAACAGAAGAAGAAGAGGGAGGATGAGAAGACAAGAAACAGGTTATTCAGTGGTCATTCTGGTGTGCCGCGAATTGTAGCTTTTGTTCCGTTGACTCCAGACGCCAATTGCATGGAAATCGCATCTGCTTTTGATGATACTATGAAGGCAAAAATGAAGTTGGTTCCTTTGGGCAGAGATTTTTGGGAAATCCTTGATGTTTGCAAGGTTGCTGATTGCGCTGTGTTTGTCGTTTCATCCCAAGAGGAAGTTGATCAATTTGGTAATGACGTTCTTTCAGCGTTACGTGCTCAAGGAATGACGTCTTGTTTTGTTGTATGTCCCCAACTGGAGGATAAATCTGTAAAGAAAAGTTTGGCTTCATGGGCAAAGTTCGAGTTCAATGACACTATGCGTATTTTCAATCTCCCATTAGAAAAGGAACTTTTATTCAGGGCGATTTCACAAGTTTCTGAGAAGCCAAAGAGTTATCCGCATCTTATCGCGGATTGTATCGACTATGATGCAAACAACGGCGTTCTTATGATCGAAGGATACAACAGAGGAAAAGCTTTTGATCCAAACAGACTTGTTCATTTACCGGATTATGGCGATTTTTCATTACAAAAAATTGTTTATTCCAACGGCGATGTGGAAATGCCATCTGCTGATCCTGAAGAAAGGCAGTTGATTCCAGAAGAATCATTTAATTGTAGAATAGACGAAGAAGTTGACGAAGATATGGAAATGGAAACTGAAACAAGATCAACTGCGTCTCGCGCAAAATCACTTAAGGGAACAAGCAGTTATCAGGCAGTTTGGCTTTCCGATGAAGAACTCTCTGAAGATGATAACATGGACGCTGACGATCAAATGACTATGCAATCGGAAAGCGAAAGCGATGATGATGAGCTAACAAAGGAAGAAGAAGAGGAAAGACGAAAAGAGTTTCGTCAAAGGATGGAAGAAGAGAAAGAGTTTCCCGATGAAGTTGAGGTCCCTGCAAATCAATCAGCCAAATCTAGATTCAGAAAGTATAGAGGACTTCAAAGCTTCAAGACTTCTTCATGGGAAGGAGAAGATGAGTTACCGCCATCGTTTGACAATATTTTCATGTTTGAGAATTTCAGAAAGACTGCTAATGATGTATTCGAAGATTTGGAAGAAGAAGAACGAATTACTAATGTAAAGATCCAATTGTACTTGGAGATGGTTCCAGTTTCTGTCGCAGAGTTCTTTGTTAAACACAACTGTGTCGTCTTTGGTCTTCTGCCGCATGAGGAGAAAATGTCAATGTTGAATTATACGATCAACTTACCAAATGCAAAAGCAGAAGATGTAGTTCTAGAATCTAAGCAACCAATATTAATACAAAGTGGCTACAGAAGGATAGTTCATCATCCTATTTATTCCGAGAATTCCAACCACAAAAACAAGTTGAACAGGATGTTGAAGTTCGTTTATCCTGGAGAATCTGCAGTGGCGACTGTTTTTGGTCCTATTCAGTATTCTCCTGTGGCAGTTCTCTATTTTAAAGATAACTCCACTTCACTCACTGGATCTGGCTCGCTGCTCTCAGTTGATCCAGACAGAAAGATCATCAAGAGAAAGTTGCTTACTGGTGTTCCAACAAGAATTCATCCCGGTAAACATAATCATACTGCAGTTGTTAGATACATGTTCCACAATCCGGAAGATGTTCAGTACTTTTCTCCAGTGGAGCTAAAAACTAAGCTTGGAAGAAGAGGAAATATTATGGAGAGTATTGGCACTCATGGAGCAATGAAATGCAGATTTGATAAAGCTCTAAAGAGTGAAGATATTATCCTGCTGCCGTTGTATAGAAGAGTCTTCCCTAAATGGCCTGAAATGGGTTACAAATCAATGTATCCGCATGTTTTAAAAGCAGAATAGAGAAAAATTCTATTTAGGATATTGATACGGTTACGATATAATTGAAGCGATCTTTCGTTTCAATTGATCATGTGTGTAAGGTTTTGCCATGTGAGTGTCCATTCCAACTTTTAAGCAGTCTTCCTGGTCAGTCTTTAGTGCACTTGCCGTCAGTGCAATTATAGGAGTACGTTTTCTGTTAAGTTCGGCTTCCTTTAATCTTATAAGTTTTGTAGCTTTCTTTCCGTCTAGAACGGGCATTTGTACATCCATTAGAACAACATCATAATCACCTTCTTCAAAAAACTTTTCATATGCTTGTTGGCCGTTATCCACAATATCCACGTTTTTTATACCTATTCTTGTTAATGCCATAAGTGCAATCTTTTGATTTATCGGATTGTCTTCGGCCATGAGAATTTTTAGATGCTCCACAATTACTTGTTTCTTTTCCTCAATAGGCGTCTCCACAGGTAATTTTCCTATAGGCAGTGGAACTTCAACACAAAACGTTGAGCCCTTTCCTGGTTCTGAATCGGCTTTTACGGTGCCTCCCATCAACGCGAGTAAAGATCTAACAATAGAGAGGCCTAATCCAGTTCCGCCAAATCTCCTTGTAGTCGAAGTATCAGCTTGCGTAAACGGCTGAAAGAGACGTTTCAAAGTTCCTTGAGGAATGCCAATGCCCGTATCTTTTACAGAAACTGTGAGAGCAGCCATTTGCTCATACTTATCAACATCGCATGTCAAGGTGACATCGACACTACCTTCTTCTGTAAATTTTATAGCATTACTAACCAAGTTCAAAACGACTTGCTGTATCCTATCTGGATCACCTATGAGTGCCGGAGGTATGTCATCAGAAATCTTAACATTCAAATCAATTCCCTTTCTTAATGCCGCGGGTTTCATCAGTCCCTCGACCAAAGCAAGGCATTGAGTAACATCAAACGGTGTTTTCTCCAATTCCAACTTTCCAGCTTCCACTTTCGAGAAGTCCAGTATATCGTTTATCACTGTGAGAAGCATGTTGCCGGATTTTTCAATTGTTGAAACATAGTCAACTTGTACACAAGAGAGAGACGTGTCTTCTTTTAACGCTTCGGCCATTCCAAGGATACCATTCAAGGGTGTCCTTATTTCATGAGACATGTTGGCCAAAAACTCTGATTTCATTCTGCTAGATTCAATTGCTGCTTGCTCTCGACTTGACAAATGAACACGGAGCTCTTCCAGTTTGACTTTTTCTGTAACATCTTCACAAATAACTATAGCTTGTTCTATATTGCCCATTTCATCGAAGACGGGTTTCGAGCTTAATCTCATAATTCCCCTTGTCCCATCCCCAAACTGAACCATTGTATCCTCGTTACGCACAATCTCGCCCTTGAAAAGAGAGCGATACAAAGGCCAATCTTCTGGTTCGTATTCTCTTCCGTCTTTGTGGAAAGCTTTGTAGTCCGCAA